TTTGTATGAATATTTTTTTATATTGAACATCTTTTTACATCCATCCCAACCCCACCTACCCCTCACTCACCCCTCCCTTTCACTCAGAGTAAACTTAGATGTTTGCACTCAAGGAACTATTGCAAGAAAACATATTTCAGAGGTGTACGAATTTTTTGTACTTCAATGTACTGTCTTTGGGCAGTAATGTAAACGCAAGCCGGATGTCGCAGTCTGACATGGGATCCATCTTTCACATAAAAAATAAATGAAATATTCTGGTCATAGGAAACTAGTATGTGAATTATCAAAATTATCAAATTAAATGCTTCTAACCTCCTTGGATCCTAAACGAACACTGATGCATCTATTCTTGTTTACAAATTCCGCCCAGAGAGAACTGGTTTCAATATGTACGCAGAGTATACGCAACCCCAATTAACTTTCCTTGCATAAGTACCTTGTTTGCACTTATGTTCATTTATGTTCTTAAAAAGGTTTAAATCATTATTATGTGTTCTGGGATATATACAGGATTAAAAAGTTACACAATAATTAATAACATTAAGGCAGGCTCTCTGCTGTTCCAGTAGGATCGCTTCACGTGCTAGAGCGTAGGGCAACCTGTCGGTCGCAGGGTGCAATTTAAACTGCCCCAAAATTGAAGACCTATTTAAATACTTATGTTAAACTAGCTTTTGAATTTTCGGAATATTAAAGAAAATTAACCTATTTCATTTTTTAATAACTTTATTGTCGCTAAATGATAAACAAGTAATATTTCCATTTTCCCAAACATGTTTTCAAAATGGCCAATCCAATCAATAATCCATGTGTGCACATGAATCAGCACAAAAATGGCCATATTATTAGATTTGGAACAGAGAACACTGATTAATATTACGGAGTTAGACACAAATTCGTGCCTTAGAAACAAGATGACACTGAAAGTACAGTACTTACTGTACAGTGTTCAACCCAGAGATAAGAGAGCTACAGAGATCGATTAAAACCTATGATATGCAATATTTTTCACACTATGTTCCATTGTGTACAAGTACCGTACACAACCAATCAGGAGACATCTGTATTCAGGGATATTTTAGGATCCTTTTGATAGGAAATACAAAATCTTCAAAAATAGACAAAATTTGAAAACGATATGTTTTATGTTTAAAATTGGAGTATTTCTTTAAAAGTTGTAAAACTTAACCCCTGAATGCAACAAGATTCCGTGAGATGACAGTCAAAAAACATTACATGGAACCGTAGCATGGCGTGCCGGGACACCAAAGGCCTACTGGGTACTTAGTCTATCCAGGTAGAGTGTATGCGCAGTCTGTGGGATCTGTGGTTCAACCTTTACCTAGGTTATGCACTGTACACAATTTCATTCACTAAACAAAAACAATAATCGAGTATGGCATACCGTGCACTGTCCCACAAGCATTGATGTACAACTAGAGGTTAACCAGTACACCACACAGTATGAAGTATACACTGTACAACAAGTTAAACAGTATACCTAACGACAGCGTCATGGTACTAGAGGTTAAAAAGTACATCAACAAACAAAATATAATGCACTAGACAATGGTCAACATTTACAAGTGCAATTGCATTATAAGGGGCGTACGAAAGATTTGTGCACGATGTAATTATACTTAAATGGAATAAATGAGTAATTTCAAGTGACCCTCCATTTATAGAGTGGCATGTCCGATGTACCTTTGAAACCTTCATTTCTCCATCGTTTCTGAAGCAAGAAATGCACGATTCACTTTTGTAGAGAAACCACATATAAAAATAATCAGTTTTCAAAATGGGAAACATATATTTAATGCAATATTTGATAGGGTTGTTAATCGTTTTTGAAAACGATCGATAACGATCGTTTTTTGTTTCGTTTTTCAATCGTTTTCAAAAACGATCGTTTTGTTTGGAAAAAAACGATCGTTTTTAAAACGACCCACTCGTTTTGAACTTTTAGAAAACGAATAACGATCGTTTTTGAAAACGATAGTTTTTATAAAAACGATTTGCGACCGTTTTTTATACGATTGTTTTGAAAAAACGATCATTTTTGAAAAAACTATGGTTTTTGAAAAAATTTTTGTATTGACAATTATGTTAACGATCGTTAACGAAGGGTCGTCGTTAACGATCGTTAACAAAGGGTTGTCGTTAACGATCGTTAATGAAACGACTGATGCTGTCAAATTTATACTTACTAAGTTAAATGGGTCTGTTTTCACTTCACAGTTACTGTGTCTAATGTCATATCTTGAGTCGAAACGTGCCGCCTTCTTATTCCAGAGTTTTCTGGTTATCACTGTATGAGAAATAATTACTTTTGTCTTTATTTTCTTGTAGATTTTCATAATGCAATTATCATTAATATGTTATTCATCACTTTATACCTTTCCCTCCCCCCCCATCCCGCCCCACTTCGTTAAAATATAGTTCCCGTCTGTATACTGCTGTACCAGGTTCAAATCAAGTTATAAGTGCTTTCACCGTGGACATTATAAAAACTGAATTTTTACTTAATAAAACTTGTTTTTTAGTTCTTTAACCCCGCAATGGAAAGTTATAAACTGCCAAACGTCAATAAATTTAAAGACTGTTAATTCTGAATTAAATTTTTTTCAGGGAATTTTTCAGTTGAAATTTTAATCTCTTGAAAAATTATCGATTTGAAAAAAAAACATTTTTAATACTTGGAGGAAAAAAACTAATACAAAAGTGTTATTATAAGACGTAATTACGTTTTATTAAAAACTAATTTTTATTTCTATTCAAGTCCTCAAAAAACTAAAAGAGACCGTTCATACCACACGAAAGGTCAGTCTTAAGAAAGTATTGAGAAAACAGAAACTCTCTTTCTTATCCTTAGATTCTAGTTCAGAGAAACATATAGATAGATGATACAGAATATATAGAAGATTATGATACAGGGGATATTTAGAGGATTAGAATTTAGGGGATATATAGAGGATTAGGATACAGGAGATATATAGAGGATTAGGATACAGGGGATATCTTGAGGATTAGGATACAGGAGATATTAGATAGAGGATTAGGATACAGGAGATATATAGATAGAGGATTAAGATACAGGAGATATATAGAGGATTAGCTAGGATACAGAAGATATATAGATAATTTGGATACAGGAGATATATAGAGGATTAGGATACAGAGCATACACGGAAAAATGGAAAAAATGATAAAATCGAATAAAAATATCTGAAAACTGAGGATAAAAAATCAAGTTTAACTATGACTAAAATATATTTATGACTACTGTAAAATATAAAAATCCACCTTAATCCAGTTAAATTACAATAAAAATCTTTTCATTTCAGAGTCAGACAATTGCGGAATTTAAATAATAACCTGATAACAAGTTAGAAACCTGAATCTAGTAAATATCATTTGTCAAAATATTATTACTAAGCAAAAGTTTAAGGTCCACTCCAACTTCTCCAACTAAACCCCAAAATTCAGGGTTCAGGGGTTTGTGTTAGGGTAAAGATAAGGTCCATACTTATTTTACGCTTTCAAAATATGAAAGATAAGCGAATTTTCATGTAAACTTTCAGATAAAAAATGAAAGGGTACTTTTAAAAAATACTACTTGCAAACAGAAACATTTAGAAGATGATTCTATAGAAAATTATTTTATTCAGTTTTCACCTAAACAGGGCCTCATCTTTAACATTACAGACTTCTAAACAAGATTTCTAGACTTATCCAATAAACGTTGAAAGTGTAAAACCTGACCAAACCACTCAAATGACCCCAAAGAACGCTTAAGTCGGTCGAAATTGAAAAATTTTGCCATGAAAAAAATCGTCATATTGTATTTGAAAATTTACCAGTTTGTACAGAAAAATTGCTACTAGGAGAAGAGAAGCGAAGCAGCCTAAAATGTGTTGCATAATGTATGTTATAATGTTCAGAGTGAATATGACTGTATCAATAAAAAGCTCAAATTTCACATTTTATTACAATGTTTGCAACTACAGTTTATCAATCGCAGATCACACTGCTTTAATCATTAAGGAAGGCGGGCGTTTCACACTGCTTTGAATAACAAGAATAAATAGGCGTCAGCTCAAAATTTAATATTTTGTTCGACAACACATTTACTTCACTTTAAATTTGATGAAACTAATAAAATGTAATAGAGCTGCACATTTTTCTACCTACTATCCTAGCTCTACAAGTTATTTAATTAAACTTATATTTTATATCATTTTATATCATGATCTTGCCAGGCTTACATTTGTTGAATAAAACGTGCAGGTAGTTCAGACTGGACAGTACGCCTGAATGCATATTGCATATACAGTACACATTTGTACCGACGCGGATCATGCAATGAATGGAGCAATGTGAATTATATATAGTTAAAAGTGCCAGCTTTCTTTGTGTTTTATGCTATAGAAACAAACAGGAGGAAAAGTAAAGATAAATGACTATAATGATTTATATTTAACCCCCCCCCCCCCAAATAAAAATAATAATTGAAAGACTAGGTACCAATTCACATTACAGATACCTGTGTATCTTATTTGTACTTTTTAGCATCTTGTAAAATTAAGAATATTTTGTAATATAATAATGTAATACTAAGAATGTTATTTATAAAGTTTTGCTGACGTAGTGAAAAAAAAACATTCTTGCATAATTAAAAATATATAAAAATATCTCTTTATGTAATAATAATGGAAATATATATAAATTGCATTGTTTTGCATAATTAAAAATGTTTACTCCATATAATTGAGCAAGTACAATCGTGTGTGTGTTGAAGTTAATATTGTATAATGATAACGGGTTCATATTGTATACCACGTGACGCAACGTGTGTCCAAATGAGTCATTGACCTAAATTTTCTCTACTCATCCCTCTCTAGCTGATATTATGCATGATAAAATAGCAATTCTTATCAAACTTACTTTTATAACCTAAAGAAATACAATTACTAAATATAAGGATCAAATTAATTTACCTTGGCTAGCTGAATAAAGAGGAAAATTCACAATATTTGTTTTATCACGTGTTATCACTGTAGTGGTTAATAACCAACTGAACTGACTGTTCCGTTCTGTTCTGTTTCTCCCCTCAGTGCGTCTGTGTGTTGTGTTAGAGTTTCCCTATATACTTACACCGTTCTCATGACAGCTTGAGCTCTCCACCGGCCCAGCACACATCCTGCTGTCACCAGCTGCCACCCAGCTGCCACCCAGCTGCTTGCATGCATAATATTTACGGATTTCCCATTCAAATTATGAGGTTTCGGTCTACTGATAACATTTCACTTTTCAGCTGTCAATCAGAAATGTAATGCTGTGGTAATTGACTAAATTATGATACAAATGTTGCACGTATAGTTGTTAATAATCAGCCGGAGATAAATTATGTCCTTGAATACAATTTCTCCAATTACTCAGATTTTTAAACAATTAGGGCGTGAATAAAAGTTGGAGTATTGGACAGGAGGCCTCGACTTCATCAGACGAGCATCTTGATAAGTTAATCGTAGGATAGACCTCGATTAATAAATCCTAGGTTTATCCTACGTTTTAGACTTGTCGTTAGGGATGGGCACGTTCCGACTTTTTTGAAATAGTTTCGTTCTGTTATAGAACGAGGGCCAATTCAGCTAGATCATTCCGTTCTCGTTCCGTTCTGTCCCGTTCCGTTCCGTTCTGTCCCGTTCCGTTCCGTTCTGAGTAGAATAACGGTCATCCCGTTCTTGGCATTAGTCGAAGAACAGTTCCATCCCTCTTGTTCTATTCTTAGTAAAGAACGTTTCCATCTCCCCTTCCATTCAAGGTATAGAACGATTTCATCTCCCCTTCCGTTCATAGTATAGAACGATTCCATCTCCCCTTCCGTTCATAGTATAGAACGATTCCATCTCCCCTTCCGTTCATAGTATAGAACGATTCCATCTCCCCTTCCGTTCATAGTATAGAACGATTCCATCTCCCCTTCC